TCTCTCTCTCTCTCTCTCTCTCTCTCTCTCTCTCTCTCTCTCTCTCTCTCTCTCTCTCTCCTCTCTCTCTCTTCTCTCTCTCTCTCTCTCTCTCTCTCTCTCTCTCTCTCTCTCTCTCTCTCTCTCTCTCTCTCTCTCTCTCTCTCTCTCTCTCTCTCTCTCTCTCTCTCTCTCTCTCTCTCTCTCTCTCTCTCTCTCTCTCTCTCTCTCTCTCTCTCTCTCTCTCTCTCTCTCTCTCTCTCTCTCTCTCTCTCTCTCTCTCTCTCTCTCTCTCTCTCTCTCTCTCTCTCTCTCTCTCTCTCTCTCTCTCTCTCTCTCTCTCTCTCTCTCTCTCTCTCTCTCTCTCTCTCTCTCTCTCTCTCTCTCTCTCTCTCTCTCTCTCTCTCTCTCTCTCTCTCTCTCTCTCTCTCTCTCTCTCTCTCTCTCTCTCTCTCTCTCTCTCTCTCTCTCTCTCTCTCTCTCTCTCTCTCTCTCTCTCTCTCTCTCTCTCTCTCTCTCTCTCTCTCTCTCTCTCTCTCTCTCTCTCTCTCTCTCTCTCTCTCTCTCTCTCTCTCTCTCTCTCTCTCTCTCTCTCTCGCTCTCGCTCTCGCTCTCGCTCTCGCTCTTTCTCTTTCTCTTAGCATACCTCTGGACATTGCCCAACTTCGTCTTGAGGTTAATAAGACTAGCATTCCATGCTGTAGCCGCGTATTCCAGAATCGCTCTGACGTATGTCGTTCATATGGTCCAAAGGGACTTCGTATTAAAGCTTGTAAAAGCAGGTGTTATCTTGGCCAATCGTTCATAGACTCCTCCCTAGAGTCATTTAGTGGATGGTTGTACATCACAGCTACTAATGTCCTTGGTCCTTCATTACATGGTGGCCAGTATGCAGCTTGAGACTTTCACAGCTCTTGTCATCATCTTTGATCTCCAGCGTGACTCCCGCCAATTTGTTCTCAGAGTACATACAATCTGTTGTGGAATGGAAACACCAACAGGCCGAGTTCATTTGTGTTATGATCCATCCATGTTTGTGTACATTAAGTTCAATTTCATCTGTGCATTTTCTCACAGCGCTTCCTTGTCCTCCATCCCATGGTGGGGAAGTTGTTTAATGAGGGGGGGGGGGGGAGTGTAGTTGGGGGCTTATGTTAGGGAGAGGGTGTGGAGTATTAATGGGTACAAATGGAGGGAAGAGGGGAGTGTATTGTGGCAGTAAGTGTGGGAAAGGGCCGACCTTCCCCCTCTTTTTATCCTCCCCTCAGACAATTTGCTCGGCCGCCAGATAACACCATTGTCAGAAGTTTTGCTTTCAGGAGCTCGGTCCCCCTTGTCAAGCCCTCGGTAGCGTCTTGTACTCGCCTGGATGTGCTTAAGGGGAAAAGGCGAGCTGTGGCTCTAAGGTCCCTCCTCGCAATCCTTATTCGACTAGACCTAGATTCACGAAGCTCCATGTATTTCTTCGTAAGTAGGTTTGCTACGAAGGTTCCTAAGTATGCCCTAAGAAGATGTTTAGGTGCGATTCAGGTAGATCCACTTAGGAAGATACTTGTTGGTTCAGACAAATCAAAATCTATCCACTATCTATTGATAGTGATAGACCTCTATCACTATCAAAAGTAGTGATAGAGGTCACTACTATGTTTCGTTTGGCCAATCAGAGAGCAGCAACATTCTTCACATTGAAGATTTAGTGCTGGCTTATCGGAGCTCTACTGCCTCCTATTTACCTCGAATTTTCTTATAAAATTAGTATATTTCGAAGTAAAACTTATGTTTTTTCAGACTTCTACAGGCAGCACCGACATTGTAGTAAACAAATATGTTACATTTGTTGTTTACCTACGTAATTCTAAGAGATACTGTGTAGCTGTCCTTGTTGCTCGGAAGATGCGCTGACAATTTTTGTATATATTTACTGAATTTACCCAAGAGCCACTAACTATCTAGTGGCCTCGACGAGGACAGAAAGCCGGCGGCTTGTCAAAGGGCCCGTCAATTGCCTTAATGATATTTTTTAGCTGGAATTTGGCATTTACGACTTCAGCGGGTAGGCGGTTCCATGGGTTTATAACCCTCTTGGTGAAAAAACATCTGTTTTCAGTCCTACTTGAGAGAACATACTCTCCAACACTATATCTGTGATTATCCTGTTATCAGTGACTTCATACCAAATGGTATGAGGTACTTTGAGCTCTGTAATTACTTCATACACTCAAGAATATTGGAAGATATTCTTGTGCTGCACCCAGATTTTGCCAGTGGAGGCTAATAGATCAGCCTTAAGTATTTTGTTCTCTCCTGATTCCATGTATGACTGGCCATCCTGTGAGGTGAGGATGTTGGATGAGCTTGTAGCTGGTTTTTTATCTACACTGTGTGGTCCTTTATACAGAATAGGGAAGCAGCACATTGCTGTGTATACCTAAACATGTTAAAAAAATACATTGTTTGAGAGGAGTCTTGTAGAAACTGGTAAGAGTAATTATAATATAATGTTTCCATGATTCAGTGCTTACCTCTTGTGAAAATCGTGAAGAGTTGTTTAGTCAGAGTTGATTTGTTTTTTGTATTGAGGCTGGTATTTTGTACCTTGATTCCATGTATGTCTAACCATCCTATGAGATGGGAGTATTAGATAAACTTATAGCTAGTTTTTTATCTACACTGCAATATTCCATATAGAATAGAGTAGCAGCACATGTATACAGTATACCTAATCTTCTTAATAAAAAATATCAGTAATAAAGATTTTAAATTATAGTTTGTATTGTTACAAGTACATGCTGTATTATCCTTATTAAATCATGTTGACCATGGATCATTAAGATCTCATGTTGATATGTAATACAGTAGTCATATTTCTTTTGAACTGCTAATCCATGCTAATCATTTTTTAATCATTCATTAAATTGTGCATTATGTCTCAAATTTTCACTTCCTTGGATATACTGTACAATACAAAAAGATAGGATAAAAATAAACCAGTAATATTTCTTTCATTATATTTTTTATTTAAATAACTGCATCAATATTTTTACAGCTGACAGGATTTGTTTTACCATACAGGTGCATTATGTGTTAAAAAAAAAAATTATTTTTTATTATTTATTTATTTATATACAAGGTACATTGGGTTTGTGAGAATACATAGCATAGTACAGTAATTGCACTCTTGTAAAGCCACTAGTACGTGCAGCGTTTCGGGCAGGTCCTTAATCTAACAGATAATTTTAAGTAGGTAAATTCTATCAGAATTAATAAAATTGTTTATTGTTACACACAATGGTGCTACATAGCCTTCCCAGCTTGGTGCCTTCTTTTAGCACTTACTGATTAATAAATAAATAATAATAAATAAATTTTATTCAGGAAAAAAGTACATACAGTTGATTTACTAACATAATGTTGGATTTATAGACAGAGCTAGTACATACAATACCTAAAGCCACTAATACTAAATAAATAAATAATAAATAATGTTTATTTAGGTAAGGTACATACATACAAGAAATTTTTACAAGAATACTCATAGCATTTCGGGCAAGGTATGGGGGGAAAAACACTTAGACTAAAACTTAATAGTAATCGGGATTAGGTATAAATTGTGTTGAAGGAAGGAATAAAAAAAGGGGGGTAACATAGCATAAATCAGCAATTGTACACGTTGGTGAACAAACAGCATTGTTTAAAAAATAGCAAGACATGGGTTGATATTTAGGGGGTAAGGTAGGTTACATGGAGTTAATTAGGTAGTACTTTGTTTTACTCTTAAGCTGGTTGAGAGAGGTACAGCCTTTGACATGATTCGGGAGGTCATTCCACATTCTGGTCCATTGATTTGTAGAGCACTTCTAGTTTGGTTACACACAGCCAAATTGTGTAACAGGAAGAAGTCTTGGACACAAATTTGTTCCATGCTAAATGATGCTAAATGTAGAGGAATCAGCTGAGTATTCCTCAAATAAAATAAGTTGCCTCAGCTTATAAGGTAAATAAAATAAGCATTTCTCAAATAAGTAGCTGCCTCACCTCACTGCCTTACTGCTATATAGCCTTCCTGGCATGGTGCCTTCTTTTGATAATTACTTGTTCCACACCCAAGTTGTGTAACAGGAAGAGGTCTTGGACCCCTACTTCCCTCTTTCTTTTTTAATAGTCCATATAGTCATAATTATAGCTTTAAGTATTCAATGAATAAAGTTTTTGACATTTTTACCCTTCTCCTTACCTAACATCATTTGTGCAGCATATTTTTATTTTGTCTCACCCATATTTAATTTCAAAATAAAACCAAACTAAATAAATTAGAAATCGGTATGTATAGCTAATATACACCCTTACTACTAGGTGAACAGGGGCATTTGGTGATAGTAAATGATCCCATCAGGCAGGGCTCATCACCTTCTCTCATATTTCATGTTCACCAATGTTTATTTACTTGATAACTACGTGTATAATATCTTGCTATTATAAAACTAATTCTACTATCATAAAAGACATATTTACTTTAAGTTTCAAGCAGAGAATGCATATATAACTAACACGAAGGACTCCTCTTCACGAGATTCACCAGCTATAATATTTTGTTCATGTAAAATCAATCCTAGTGTTATGTAGTAGAGAAAAATTGAGTTATATCCAGTTTACTTAAAGCTACGAGTGGTCGACACCACACTTAGATCCCAGACCAAACCTTCGTAAGTAGCTTCATGAATCTGGTCTCTGGTGTATAGGTTCCAGAGCCTATTGGGCTCTTTCATATCGGCATTTGAAGCCGAGTATGGAGACTTCTTATCGTATTCAACGAGTACAGTATACGGTATTGACACAAAAATATTTAATGTCTATATGGTTCCTATAGGTGCTTAGTTTCCATCTGTGATATCTTTGTGGGAAGGAGGTAGGTTGATGAGAAGGGAGAGAGTAGCACATATCATAGGAGACAGTCAATATCAATATGAGTATACATGTTTAGAACTCCTGATTCTTGGTGACTGACAAAACTGTTGTTGCAGCAACGGCGGCGGCAGTGCAGCAGGACATCACGCTCATCGTGGTGCTGGCGGTGCTGGTCCCACTCGTCCTCCTCCTCCTCGTGGTCGTCTTCCGCAAGTTCAACCGTAAGGACCGCCAAGATGGACCCATGTACGAGATCGCTGCCTCAGGTCGGTACAGCTCGCCGGCCGCCTTATATATATAGAAGCCATTGTTTGTAGTTTCACGTATTAGAGCAGATAGTAGGGGCTACATGCAGTGATGGGGAGTCATTGCAATAGATGACCAAGAGTTGGAAAGGAGGGATCCAGGAGCTGAGATCAGTCCTTGGACCTCTGTTAAGCTAGAACATGTTATATATATGTGTGTGTATATACTTTTATACCGATATTCAGAGTACCTTCGATGTTAGCATTTCTGACGCTGATGAGTGATGGAGAGAAATAGAGATGTAGCTCCACACCAGGTTGGTGTTGGAGTGATTTGGTACTCAAGAGACAGATATACTTTTGGGAAATTATTTTATGAATAACACGCTGTGTTATTGTATAACAATAACGTAAGTCAATACCATTGCTGTGATGCAGGTCAATACAATTCAAATACTTTATAAATTTCAATACATTCATATACAATTTCAATACATTCAAGTGTCATAATAGATAACACATTGGAACTTTTGTTTTTAAGCCAGACTCATATCTCCTGCAGATTATCCGATGCCCTTCTACTCGGACACGGCCAAGAAACTGAAGGGCCTGGCACCTGACTTGACACAGGGAGTGGGCATGGCTCCCCTTCCCCCTACTGCCCTTCCCCTCTGCTACGACCATGCCTACAGCGATCCTGCCTCCGTCTCCAGTGGTCACAAGTCCAGCGTGGGTATGGTGGGTTCCATCTATGAGGAACACTACTCGGCCCCAGCAAGTGGCAGGGGTCACTCTGGTAGTGCTACTCCTGCATCAGAGCACCACTATGATGTGCCCCACATGCGCCCTTCCCATGACTCTCCCGCGCCCTCCGAGGCCTGCCACTTGCTGCCTTCCAGAGCCCTGGTGACGCCTACTGTGGAAGGCAGCGTGGGTAGCAGGTGGTATCAACTATTTGTATCTACAGAATCAAGCTATTAGCTCTTGGACCCCTGCCTTTCTAACCAATTTATTTTTCCTCTGTTATGTCAACTACATGTATTTCTCTCTAACACACATGCGCATACACACACACATCCCCAGGAAGCAGCTTATAGCAGCTGTCTAACTCCCAGATACCTATTTACTGCTAGGTGAACAGGGGCATAGGGTGAAAGAAACTGCCCATTTCTCCGCCGGTGATCGAACCTGGACTCTTAGGACTATGAATCCCGAGCACTGTCCACTCAGCCATCAGGCTCACTAATGTTTATGTGTGTGTGTACTCACCTAGTTGTGCTTGCTGGGGTTAAGCTCTGACTCTTTGGTCCCGCTTCTCAACCGTCAATCAACTGATGTACAGATTCCTGAGCCTACTCAGCTCTTATCATATCTGCATTTGAAACTGTGTATGGAGTCAGCCTCCACTACATCACTGCCTAATGCGTTCCACTTGTTAACTACTCTGACACTGAAAAAGTACTTTCTAACGTCCCTGTGGCTCATTTGGGTACTCAAGTGTTCCTGTGTCCCTTGTTCGCGTACCACCCGTGTTAAAAAGTTTATCCTTATCTACCCTGTCAATTCCTCTGAGAATTTTGTAGGTAATGATCATGTCTCCCCTTACTTTTCTGTCTTCCAGTGTCATGAGGTGCATCTCACGCAGCCTTTCCTCATAATTTATGCCTCTTAGTTTTGGGATTAGCTTAGTGGCATACCTTGAAACTTTTTCCAGCTTTGTCTTGTGCTTGACAAGGTACGGGCTCCATGCTGGGGCCACATACTCCAGGATTGGTCTTACATATGCGGTGTACAATGTTCTGAATGATTCCTTACACAGGTTCCTGAAGGCTGTTCTGGTGTGTGTGTGTGTAATTACCTAAGTGTAATTACCTAAGTGTAGTTACAGGATGAGAGCTACGCTCGTGGTGTCCCGTCTTCCCAGCACTCTTTGTCATATAACGCTTTGAAACTACTGACGGTCTTGGCCTCCACCACCTTCTCACTTAACTTGTTCCAACCGTCTACCACGCTATTTGCGAAGGTGAATTTTCTTATATTTCTTCGGCATCTGTGTTTAGCTAGTTTAAATCTATGACCTCTTGTTCTTGAAATTCCAGGTCTCAGGAAGTCTTCCCTGTCGATTTTATCAATTCCTGTAACTATTTTGTATGTAGTGATCATATCACCTCTTTTTCTTCTGTCTTCTAGTTTTGGCATATTTAATGCTTCTAACCTCTCCTCGTAGCTCTTGCCCTTCAATTCTGGGAGCCACTTAGTAGCATGTCTTTGCACCTTTTCCAGTTTGTTGATGTGCTTCTTAAGATATGGGCACCACACAACAGCTGCATATTCTAGCTTTGGCCTAACAAAAGTCATGAACAATTTCTTTAGTATATCGCCATCCATGTATTTAAATGCAATTCTGAAGTTAGAAAGCATAGCATAGGCTCCTTGCACAATATTCTTTATGTGGTCCTCAGGTGATAGTTTTCTATCTAGAACCACTCCTAGATCTCTTTCTTTATCAGAATTCTTTAAAGATTTCTCACATAATATATAGGTTGTGTGGGGTCTATGTTCTCCTATTCCACATTCCATAACATGACATTTATTAACATTAAATTCCATTTGCCAAGTGGTGCTCCATATACTTATTTTGTCCAGGTCTTCTTGAAGGGCATGACAGTCATCTAAATTTCTTATCCTTCCTATTATCTTAGCATCATCAGCAAACATGTTCATATAATTCTGTATACCAACTGGTAGATCATTTATGTACACAATAAACATCACTGGTGCAAGAACTGAACCCTGTGGTACTCCACTTGTGACATTTCTCCATTCTGATACATTGCCTCTGATTACTGCCCTCATTTTTCTATCAGTCAGAAAATTTTTCATCCATGATAGAAGCTTACCTGTCACCCCTCCAATATTTTCCAGTTTCCAGAACAACCTCTTATGTGGAACTCTGTCGAAAGCCTTTTTTAGGTCCAGATAGATGCAGTCAACCCAACCATCTCTTTCCTGTAATATCTCTGTGGCTCGATCATAGAATCTGAGTAAATTCGATACACAGGATCTTCCAGATCGAAAACCATACTGTCTGTCTGATATTATATCATTTCTCTCTAGGTGTTCTACCCATTTAGTTTTGATTAGTTTTTCCAATACTTTCACTATTACACTTGTCAATGATACAGGTCTATAATTGAGGGGGTCTTCCCTGCTGCCACTTTTGTAGATTGGAACTATGTTAGCCTGTTTCCACCCGTCTGCTACGATTCCTGTACACAGGGATGCCTGAAAGATCAGGTGAAGTGGAATGCTGAGCTCAGATGCACATTCTCTCAGAACCCATGGTGAAACGCCATCTGGGCCAGCTGCTTTGTTCTTACCGAGCTCCTTGAGCATTTTTTCCACTTCGTCTCTAGACACCTCTATGTGTTCTATGTTGTTCTCTGGAATTCTTATTGTATCTGGTTCCCTAAAGATTTCATTTTGTACAAACACACTTTGGAACTTTTCGTTTAGTGTTTCACACATTTCCTTTTCATCTTCCGTGAATCTATTTCCCATTTTCAACCTCTGAATATTATCCTTTACCTGCAATTTGTTGTTTATGAATTTATAGAATAGACCTGGTTCTGTTTTACATTTGTCCGCAATCCCTTTTTCAAAATTTCTTTCTGCCTCTCTCCTCACTGCCGTGTAGTTGTTTCTCGCATCTTTGTATCGCTGGTATGTTTGGGGGTTCGGCCTCTTCCTGTATTGATTCCATTTTTGTGTCTTTCGGTCTCTAGCCCTCTCGCAATTTCTATTGAACCAATCCTGTTTCCTAGTTCTGCATCTCTGTTTTGGTATAAATTTTTTTGTGCCTTTATCATATATTTCACAAAACTTGCCATACATCTCATTCACTTCCTTGCCTAGCATCAAGTCTGTCCAATTATACTCACTAAAAAAATTTCTAAGGTCACCATAATGTCCTCTCCTGAAGTCTGGTTTTTCAACTGCTTCAACCTCCTTATTTTCTTCCAGCTTATAACGCATTGCATACTTTATTCCCAAAAAGACATGGTCACTTTTACCCAAGGGAGGAAGGTACTGAATGTCAAATATCTCTTCCTCCTTCCTGGTGACTATCAAATCTAGCATGGAGGGAACGTCCCCTTCCCTCATCCTCGTAGCTTGTTTAACATGTTGATACAAGAATGTTTCCAGGATGAGTGTGTGTGTGTGTGTGTGTGTGTGTGTGTGTGTGTGTGTGTGTGTGTGTGTGTGTGTGTGTGTGTGTGTGTGTGTGTGTGTGTGTGTGTGTGTGTCCTTTTTCACGGCTGGTTGCTGTGTTGATCTCCGACCCTTGACCCCACTACACCTTGAGTGATGTTAACTGGTCTAGCATCATCCTTATTAAACACCAACTTTAATAACACTTAACAAATATGAGTTCTATGCTGATGCTTCATGTTCCAGGACTAGTACCTTATTTTGAAAAATTCATTTTTTAATTACTTGAATGGTGTTGCTTTTGCTAGTTTTACATGTGTTGGTGATGATATCCTACTTATTTATGCCTCTGGAGTTAAGACTCGTGATACATGTATTGCACATCAAAGTGCAATACAGTATTTTTAACTTTCATTGATACTGGCCTTGTTGGACTGCCCAGGAAAATGAACAGGCATAGATGAATGCACATCTAGCAAGAAGAAAAAATAATTTAATTTCATTACAGTATTCCTGTAGTCATGCAAGATATAAGATGTAGTACAAACTGCTGGAACACAATTCTCACTCGCCTCTTACAGGTTCACGGCCCACATCAGCATCATGCTCAGAGGCTGCACGAGATGCCCAGCCTCCAAAGGATTTACTGGTGACTGAGGGTGCAGCTTGGGGCGTCATGACATCCGTAGGGGGACGGTTAGTAGTAGCAGAGTATGGGGTGGTGCTGACCATCCCCAGTGGTGCCCTCCCCCCAGAAGCACGCCAACAGCTGTATGTGTCTGTGGCTCCCAACTTGCACCCTGTTCCTAATCTCACGGACAGACAGGTGAGTCGAGTGTCTGTGGCACACAAGTTAGGTCCCTTTTATTTTTTTTTACTTTTTAGTTTCACTGACAAGTAGATACCTTATTTATACTCCAAATTCTGTTATAACAATACAGTACTAGTATAATATCAGTTACAGTACAGTATTAACATTGGTGATGCTAATGTGTTACCTGTGACTTTACAGACGCTACTAAGCCCTGTAGTGACATGCGGGCCACCCACCGTGGCACTTCTGAAACCTGCTGTGCTGTCCTTTGAGCACTGCGCCTCCTTGCAGCATGCTGCCTGGCAACTCCATGTCTTTGCTGCAAATACACCGACCTCCACAGGCAATGCCACCACTTCCTCTTCCTCCTCCTCTTCTTCACCCTTCTCCATCAGTGAAGAGCCCTGGACCAGAATCATCACAATGGGAGAGGAGAGGATTGACACACCCGTCTTTACACAGCTCGACGGTGCTCAGGTGAGATGCCCTTCTCTACTCAAAGTAGAACAAATCTAATGGTTTAACGTTTTTAATTTTATTCCTATGGTTCATTTTGGCTGAGAACTCTCTTCATAAACTATAATATTTGCATTGTACAATAATTCATATACAGTACCAAGGGACCCCCCGTATCCAGCTCCTGTTTTCAGATTCTTGGATTACCTGAAAGGGTAATCCATTTCAGGTAATGTTATCCATTGTATACAGTACATCAGGGCATTTTTGTTAAATTGGGTTTACTTGTTATAAGTCGGTGTATTCTTTTTAAAACACTATTACAGTACACTAGTGTACAGGTATCTAAATACTGTACCAAAATAAAAATACAGTACAGTACTTGAAAAATTACAGAAAAATTACTTCATGTTCTTTTCCTCTATTATCCAAATTTTTAGGTCTCCAGACTTCCAGAGGTACTGATAAATACAGATACTGTACTGCAGTTGAGATCACTCAATACATAACCAATATGCTTCATGTAGTGAGATCGTTGAAGGTGCATGACAACAGGTTGCCTGGTAGATACGATTAGGTATCATAATTGAATAGAATTTTTACCTCGCCTAGGTACACATGATGACGGAGACACTGCAGAGGTTTGTTTTGATTGGAGAGAGTGCCGGATCAAATGCTGCAGTAAAGCAGGTGAAAGTGGTGACTGCTGCTCCTCCTCCCACGCCCTCGGGCACCCTAACCGTCACCCTCCATGTCATGCAGGATACCTCTGCAGCCCTTGCCTGTAAGTAACCTGTATCTATAGGAGTGGGGAGGGCTGCCCATCTTTAAGGATAGGGTTAGGGATGATGATCCTGGTCCCGTGCAACCAAAGACCTCATGACACAATTTACAGTATTTAGCTTTTAAACCACATTTTTCCCATTAAGGTAAAAAAAAAATTTTTAATGAGGTGTATCATTTTGAGAAACTATATGAGATGTTTTGTTTTGTAATCGATTTCCTTATCTTTGGGAATTATTGCTTTTAAGATTTGAAATTATCTGACAGATTAATACTTTGACTGTATAGAGAAATTATATTAGCAAGTTATGCTTTAGATACAGTACTGTTTTCAATTTGTTTATGCAACAGATGTGACGCAGCAAGAGCGACGTCGTGGGGCATCGCTTCTGGATAAACCAAAGATGTTGTTACTTCAGGACTGTGGTGCCAACCTATGCCTGACCCTCGATGACCTCGGTCCAGGTTGGCGAATCAGACCTGGTCAGCACTATAAGGTAATTTATTTTATCGATGGTTTTTAGTTGCTTTGTAATGTTCTATTAATTCAATGAATGTACTGTACAGTACTGTAATTTAGCTAGTAATTCAAATTCAAATCCAAAACTATTCATAAATGTCTACTAGATACATTTATAGTTTGGTTAGTTTACATAGTTACAGGGAATTATTTACTTAAGAGAGAGTTATAAATGTTCCAGTGTTTAGCTTATCTGTGTGCACTAACGGTGCATTTTTCCCAATGATTGTACTGGTGCTTACTAAAATTATCGAGGCTACTGTTTTGTGCTCGCGTGCCCTTTCAAGGCGTTTATGAGGGATATCCAAACGAAGAAAATGTATACTGTCTATTTACTGCTCAATGAAATCAATAAAACATTTAGGCTGTTGAAACCCTCCCTGAAAGTACTCTGGAATAGAGATGAGAGTTATTTCAAAATGTTTAAAAGGATAACACTAAGTTTAGTACTATACTAAATACCTTTTGTACAATAAAAGGTGTAACAAAACTCTGAAAAGTACGGCCGTCATAAACACTCACTCGACACCTAACAAGTGTCAGATTAAAGAGCAAATCCCTTTTAAAGACTCTAAAATGTGGAGAAACAAGATACGTGTGTACTTGCATAGTACTTTATTTTACCTATAAGGACTTCATCAAATTTAGTAAACCTTTACAGGAGAATCATCATCTTCACTATTAAGTTCTACTCTCTTCTTGATGTTTCTCTATATCATCATTGTCAGCATGTTGTGTCCTTCACACCCAAGAGGAACACAGACAAATATCTGCTGGTGCACAACTTGTCAATATATGATAGCTATGTGGGGCCCAAATTAACACTTTCGCGCTCTCGGCGCTCAAAAAAAAAACAATACCCCAGATGCTTTCGGCACTTCGCGCGCCTACGCGGTAAGACCGAAAAAGTGTACACTCTTTTGACTGTCCTGACAATAATTGAAGGCGCACGTATTTAAATTTGGTATCACTGTGTTCGCAATGAAATTGTCTATAAGAGCATACCTATAAAATGCCGCCCAAGCATAAGGAGTATCAACACCAAATAAAAAACTATGCAGATCACTCGCCGAGAGCGCCAAACAGCAACAAAATGTTTCCACTCTCTTAATGGTTGCGAAGCCTACAGTTGTCCTACATCGCTAATTTTGGTATCATTGGAATCGCAATAAAATTCTCTACACGGACATATGCATATGAATGTTTAATATAGGTAATTGCCCACCCGCAAGAGTGTGTGAAGTGGAGAGTAGTTAGCCGCGAGCGCACTGGCGAAAACACAGGGGGGAAATCATGCTTGGAAAGTTTATACGTTTCCTGACCCTACTTTTCTATGTACGTATTTCTTTTTTATACCAATGTGTTCGCAATAAAATTTTCTATAAGATGAACTGTATAACATTTGTACAAAGCATGTGTAAGAGAAGCGCCAAATATAGAACCACGTCGCTCAGTATGCGTTCGCGGCAGAAACGAACGCATTGTTTTCGTTCGTTTGATGTTTGTCATGTTTATACTTGTTGAAACATTTTATAATTTGTATGACAGTGATCGCAGTAAAATTCCCTACACAGACATATACATAACACATACAAATATTTCCCACGTGTTGGATATATCAACGGCTAAAGGGAACCCACTGCCACACGCTCGCCACACCCCCAAACATACTTTGTGTATTTTTTTTTTTACTCATAGAAGTTTATGTGATATAATATTCATTCTGGTACCAAAAAATTTGCAAATAAATTCTCTACAAAACAAAAGTATCCCCATCCATTTCGGTTAAAAAATGGAATTTATAGAAATATTTTTTCGATGGACGAGAAAAGTAGGCTGTTATGCGGAATCGTAATAAAAAACGGCGACGAGTTATCTCTAATCTAAAGCGCGAAAGTGTTAATTGTTTATCACATTTTGATAATTTTCATTTGGTAGAACCGTTATTTCTAGTGTATTCTACTGGTGCCTTCTCCAAGCAAATGCTGCCCCTATTAAGGCGGATTGATAACTATACTATTTGCAAACCTCTTATTTATTAAAAAACCAAATTTCATTACATACCAAATTTCTGCAACAGTGACATCAAGCAGCGGGTGTTCATCGTTGGTGGAGTTGACACCAGAACCTGGTGCCTTCCGCCTTCCTCAACGCCTCCGCTGGGAACTCTGTCGCTGTCTTGACCCACCAAATGCAAGAGGGAATGACTGGCGAATGCTGGCTGCCAGACTTAATGTGGATAGGTAGGGCAAACTCCATTGGTGTTTGTAAATTATTACAGTATTAGTATACAAATGTATATACACTTACTTAATATAAAGACATCTCTAAAAGCAGAGCATATAATTCTGGACCCATTCCATATTCAAGAGAAGTTTAAATTTTGAAACATTACCTTTTTGGGTTAATCATCTAACTAGCTGGGGTACATGACATTGCTAAGGGTGAGGGAGGCCTCATCTTCACTACCCAGGCACCGCTTGCTACTCTAATCTACAAACCATCAACACCACTATATGCCACTGTCACTACATATTACATACACACATTTATGAACCTAAACACGAGCTCGGCACCATGTTGCAACTAGGTTTTCGTAATTTTGGGGGTCTCTCAACATCTAATTATGATTCAGAAAATAACGAATACTAGATTCTCGGTGAGAATCTAGTCTAATAACAAGCAAGATTTGAATACTGTATGGTGTAAGTTGTCATTTCATGCAAGTGGGGAAAGAGATGGACGGTTGATTCAGACCTGCCTATGTCCATTCCCCTGACAACCACAAATCGTCCTGCAGAGTTTTAAGAGGCTAGTCCCAAGCACCTGGTCTTCAACTATGGACAGAATCACACCCATTTTTATAGATTTCACATATCCTTTCAGAAATCATTCAAAATCATTCTAAAAGCACACAGAATTGTTTAAATACAGTATATCAAAAACAGTATCAAAATTTGCAGGCTATAACAAATCAGATACTGTGTCATGTCCCACTCTGCTTCTCTCACTATATTACTCACTAGTTTATTCCTACCTAATTTATGGTATTTGTACATTGGGTATTACATACAATGTAAAGCACATCAAATCAATTTATTCTCAGCAAAATTCAAATTTGGCAGCCTGACACCTGAGTGGACAGTGCTCAGGGTTCGTAGTCCTAAGGGTCCGGGTTCGAAATCCGGTGGAGGCAGAAACAAATGGGCAGAGTTTCTTTCACCCTAATGTTAGGGTGCATTAGGGTGAAATAATTTCACCTAGCAGTAAATAGGTACCTGGAAGTTAGACATCTGCTACAGGCTGCTTCCTGGGAATGTGTGTGTGTGTGAAAATTAGGATCAAGGACTTGGCCAAAATGCTATGCGTGCTAGTGGCTGTACAAGAATGTAAAAACTCTTGTATATTTATAAATACAATACAATACAACATCAGAACTTTTACAAATTCTATGTTTAGACAACACACAACTCTCCAATTCCCAGAACATACTGAACATACACTCAATACACTCTGATCTGATCTTGTGCTCTTTGTACTTGCAAGGTTCCTTACCTCAATACTAACCCTGACTTTAAATATTTCTAGATATAATAAATAAATATATGTCACACAAAATATTGTTGACATTCCCAGAGTCTAATAAAATCTATGGAAACACACCATGAAAATAAAGGCACATGGAACACCATTGAAGTAAAGAATTTCTCAACCTTTACACTTTTAAAATTAATTCAAATAAACACCTAATTTCATCACAATAGCAAACTGCTCTACTTGATACCAAACTATGCACACCGGTAAATCACCAATATCACCAATAACCTTATTGCCACTACTTAGACTTGTACAGTGTTATATAATTTTTATACTAATTACTTAATAAATATGTCTTAGTTTTGATTAATTTAAAATCTACCACCCTATCTTACCTTGAACTATAGTAGTAACCCTGTTGCTATACCAACCTTAAATTTCAAATCTGTGCATTCTCAATGAATACCTCATTCACTAGCTTTAAATACTTTACGTTTACTATACAATTTGAATGTCTGCCTCCAATATTTTGATTACTTTAAGACTTGCCTGAACTCCTATGACTGTTTCTCCACAAGAATATAAATAATAGAAAATTTTTGTACAAATCCATTGTTCTCATGCTTAAAAAGAAATGATAAGTTTTAAATCGCTATCTGAACACTGATAAATATTCCTCTTGATCACTTAGTCCATCCAAAATCCTGCATATTTTGTCAATACATTGTATTAACAGCTTGTGTACTAAATATACCCTGTCTTTATAAGTCTTAATAGCCTTTTGTTTAGTTTTAAAATTTATCATAAATAATTTAATTTGCCATAATTCCAGGTACTTGAACTACTTTGCTTGTAAGCCAAGCCCCACTGAACACATCTTGGACCTGTGGGAGGCACGCCACAGGGAGCCCAATGCCCTTACTGATCTCCTCAATGTTCTTCGGGTCATGGGTAGACCAGATGCTGCCCACGTCCTTGAAAGTCACGCTGGTGCCTGGATATGAGCTGTATTGCCTCTTAACATGTGCAATGCCTAGTTCAGACATGCTGTACCTATTTTGTTTCAGACAAGACCCATACCCCCTCGGGATGGGCCTGTGGATGTATAATGTGCTATTCGCCTTCTTATGTCCCCACAATGTGCAATTCTTGTGAATACAGTATCGACACTCGAGACATCAGTAGCTCCTTGAACCTAAAAGTTTGCTAGTGATACAAGCTCTTTCCAAGGAAATACTGTGTGTGTGTGTATATATATATATATATATATATATATATATATATATATATATATATATATATATATATATATATATATATATATATATATATATATATATATATATATATATATATATATATAATATATATATATATATAATATAGTAACACAGAGATGGATGTGGTTAAGAGCCAGTTTTGACACTGATGGTATATGAACCAATACAATGGTGATTACAGTTGTGTTCGGATCTGTGCCGG